GTGCACGATCAAGAAAGACTTTTTGGGTTGAAATCTTCTATTTCAAAATAAGACAGATCTGCTAACCTTTAAGATCTGTTACATGCCATTGACTGAAGCTTCTGCAGGAGAAGGAGCACGAAAGCAGCTCAGCTTGCTTTTCTGAGGGTGGGAAGTTTTGCAGCAGTAAAGTTCTTTCAGGATCTCCTGGTGAGAGCATTAGTTTTTATGCTGAAAACCATATCTGAAAAACACTCTGTTTTCACGATTATTGGTTTGATATTGAAAATTACATCTCTGGTCATTTTCCTGCATAGAAGGGCATTTCTGAAAGTTCCTAGACTGCATTAGTTGACAACTTCTTAAGGCAAATACTAAAAAGACCATATAGCAGTAATGCACAACTTGATGTACTGTTCATAAACAGGGAAAAACTGGTGATGAACGCAGTCACAGATGGCAGCTTGTCTTGCAGTGGCAAGATGACCGAGTTTAGGATCTGAATCAAGGCTATAAGCAGCAGAGTTAGGATTCTGAACTTCAGGAGATGGGACTTCAGTGTGTTTAAGCAACTGCTAGCCAGATTTCCCAAGGAGGCTATCATTAGGAAGAAAGGTACTTAAGAGAGCTGGCTGGCTTATTTTAAAGAAAATTTACTTACACCACAACAGCCAACCAGTCCATTGTACAGGGAATTTTGTCAGAAGAGCTGCTTAGTACACAAGAACTGCTTGGTGCGCAAGCTTCCTAATTAATATGCAAAAAGAGCACATATTAGAAGTGTAAACAAGAATAGGCAACAAAAGGATAGAAAATCATTGCTCTGGCACTTAGCAACAAAATCATGAAGGCCAAAGCCCAGCCATAGCTAAAATTAATGAGGGACATAAGAGGATTCTGCAAGTAAGCTAGTAGTTGAAGGAAGTTCAGACAAAATGTGGGTCTGTTAATGAATGAGGGAGACAACTCAGGCATAGATTATATAGAAAGGTTTGAAGTCCTCAGTGTCTTTTTTGCCTTGGTCTTCACAGGCAGAGCCTGATCCCAGATCTCCATGCATACCAGCATGATTTGGGAAGGAGAGGGATGACCAGCAGCCACAAGCAGAAGGTTAAGAGCCTACTGAGAAAAGCTGGATGTATTCAAACCTATAGGCCAGGTAGGTTTCACTAAGCTGAAAGCTTATCACCATAATCATGGTGATTGCGGGAGGTGCCCGATGACTGGAAAGGGGTAGTGTGTTGTGCCCACCTTTCAGAAAGACGGGAAGGATGACCCAGGGAACTATAGCTAAACCATCTACCCTAGCTCCCTGGGAAGATGGCAGATCATGTCATGTCACGTGGAATCAATTTCCAATTACATGAGGGACAAAAACATAATCAGGAATAGGCAGTATCGAGTTATTGAAAGCGAATCATGCTTGAGGCCAATAGCTGATCTAATTATAGCCTATACTATCTGAATAGCAGTTACACGAGTGACGAAGCCCAGCTCTTCTTGGTAGTGGCAAGTAGTATAACAAGGAGCAATGGCCACAGTTGTCGTTTGGTAGGACATTCAGAAAAACCTCACTACGTAAATAGCACAGCACTGGAAGTGGTTATTGACAGAGGCTGTGGAGACTCCACACTTGGAAATTCACAACTCAACTGTACAGAGCCATGGCTTGACCTGGTATAGTGTTGGTAAATAACCTGCCTCATGCACAAAATTGGCTTAGACACCTCTAGATGTCCCTTCCAACCAACATTTCTATGATTGTGTAAACAGTCTGATATTTGTTAGGGCACTAAAGAAAGTACCTGAGGACAGTTAACCTCCCAAATTTTGTGAGCACACACTGTACTGAACAATGCAGTGACTGAGGAGACAGACAATGGGACATATCCTGTATCTCACATCTAGCCTGCTTCAACCAGTAGTTCTCAAACATCCTTGTCAACCGTGTAATAGACTACAAAAACAGGGGTCAGTCCCTAAGATAAAACAATTCATTTGCAAGCAGCAAAAAAGAAATGAAGTACTGAATTTGTTGAATAATTAATTATTTTGCAGTAACATAAGCACATCCTTCCCAACAGAGATAGGAAAGTTTGTACTGCTGATGCCCAAGTTGCACTTATTCTGCCGAGTAAGTGGTGGAGTTGTCTGTCCAACACTTCCAAAAACCCCATCAGAAACATCTCTTATTAAAATGCACAGATTTCTCAGAGCAGAACTTTGCTACTTAACTTTTTTTAGCAAAAAGAAGATATGAATTAACCGCTGACTTCGTTACTATTGATCGCATTAGTTCCTCTACGATCACTGGAGAACATCTATGGCAATGCATGCTTTTCATCTTGTCCAGAGTAACACATCGTACTCCCAGTATGTAAGGAATTTATGCTGCTCCTTAAGCTGTTAATATCTGTAGATTTTGATCATTTGTGCAACACTGTTTTAAATTACAGCAATTAGTAGTACAAGACAAATATCAAAGCACAGTTTAAATTGTATTTTGCAGTAACTATTTGGATATGACTGAAGAACCATACCTGCAATTAAAAAAAAAAAGAGCCAGCAGTGTGCCCAGGTGGCCAAGAAGGCCAACAGCACCCTGGCTTGTATCAGGAACAGTGTGGCCAGCAGGAGCAGGGAGGTGATCGTGCCCCTGTACTCGGCACTGGTGAGGCTGCACCTGGAGTGCTGTGTTCAGTTTTGGGCCCCTCACTACAGGAAAGAAATGGAGTTGCTGGAGCGCGTCCAGAGAAGGGCAACGAGGCTGGTGAGGGGTCTAGAGAACAAGTCTTACGAGGAGCAGCTGAGGGAACTGGGGCTGTGTAGTCTGGAGAAGAGGAGGCTGAGGGAGGACCCTATTGCTCTCTACAACTACCTGAAAGGAGGTTGTAGTGAGGCAGGTGTTGGTCTCTTCTCCCAGGTAACTAGTGATAGGATGAGAGGCAATGGCCTCAAGTTGCATCAGGGGCGGTTTAGCTTGGCTATTAGGAAAAACTTTCTTCACTGAAAGAATGGTCAGACATTGGAACAGGCTGCCCAGTGAGGTGGCTGAGTCACCATTCCTGGAGGTGTTCAAAAACATGCAGATGTGGCCCTTTGGGACATGGTTTAGTAGGCATGGTAGGTTTTGGGGTGACGGTTGGACCTGATGATCTTAGAGGTCTGTTCCAACCTATGATTCTATAATTTATCAGAGTATCTCCCTGAATTCTGCCACATACAGATCAGCTTTTTCTCTGTAGACATAAGCCTTCCATACCACCACTTGAAGTTTTTTGTTTCCATTACTATCATTCTAAGCTTCATATTTTGGCAACTAACCTTTGCTTGAAAGAAACAACACCTTCTTTCCTGCAGTTCTACTTAATGACCCAAACATGTGGCAGCTTTTCTGTGAGGAGACCTGTGCATCTGTATGGAAGCTCTGTAAAATTCATGTGCGCTAATCTAGGTAATAGGCAGTAACAGAACCTTATCAATGAAGAGCTCAAAGTCCACAAGTGAACAGAAGAAACAAATGCTGCCGAGAAGAAACCCGCTCCTTCTGCCATTGTTGTTTTCTAATGGGAGCGAAAGTAAATAAACAAATAAATTATCTAAACAGAAAGATATCATAACAAAACCAATGTTTTTCCTAAGTCTGAGCTGATTTCCGATGCAACTTCTTTGCTCTCACCCCGATCTTTCAAAAGTTACTACTGTTCATTACATGTCAACTGTAAAAAAAAAAAAAAATAAATCAACTAATGCTGCAATTTTTCCATTTTCTTTAAAGTGAAACATAATTTAATAATAGCTAATATACCTGTCTCCCTCCTGTTTTATTTCAAGTTCTTATAAGGGACGCTTTGCTTAACTTCTCTCCTCCTGAACTTAAATTCCTTCACCAAGTAACCCAAAACAGAAGAAAAACACCACGAAACACATGATCATCTTAGCTGATATTAGACTTGGAAAATATCACTTCAACATCACTTTTTCTCAAAAACTAAACTAAAAATAACATTATTATAATGGCAAACAATATTATATTTGTACTATGAACAACATATAGGAACGATATGTTTTAATTCTCTATGTGCTTGATATACTAGGGACATAACACCATAATGTAAAAATTAACAGTGAAGACAATAACAACAGCAAGAACAACATTGCACAGAAGTGACAGGAAACGCTAAGACAAAGCTTTTAACTGATATTCATTAACGATTTAAAGATGGGAAATTTACCAGAAAACATACAGTTCCCCTTACTCGTCTTATAAAAGAATTAAAATCTTATTTGGAAAGATGCCAAATTCTCAAGAACGTCCAAGCAAAATATCTTCTATTCAGGAATAAATGTTAAAAAATCGAGCATGTAAGTAATTTAGCTTGTGGAAGTAAGAAGACTGAGTTTGATAGGAGCATTCACGTATTGAACACAATTCATACACACCAATGTTTTAGAAGTATCAGGAGCATAAGACAACCTGAATAATTTTTCCTGAGTCAGTTTCATTCAAAGAGATCTACTCCCTAAATAAATATTTTGCCAACTTTCAATTATTTCCATGCATTGTGCCATGGAACACATTACAGAGAGATGTGAGCCAGTACTGACCAAACTGGTGTATCCACCATGCACACTGCCAACAGATACATTGGCTTAAGTTTCAAAAGCACAGCCATATTATCAAAATACCACACCTGACCTAACGATGTTACTTGTGGTCAGCCAGGCCACAGTCATACATGTTTGGTGCTAGAGCCAGCACAATCACCACTCGCCCGGGGGAAAGAGAAGAAAGAAGAGGGGCATCTTCACTCTGCAAGCTGCTGAGCAGAGTCCACGTGCCTTCGAAATGACCCAAACGGCAGAGCAGCGTCTAGGAAACCCCACCAGAAACTGCACAGCATTTCATGCAACGCTTCAGAAGCAAACAAAAACGGGCACAGAGATCACGCTGAACACGTAACAACGCTTCAAGGAAGCGTCCCTTACCCAGGAGGGATATTTTGCAGAGCACTACTTACAGGTATGGAGGCACTCAGTTACTGTAGTTGGCTTGATGAGATAGCCTTTACAGATATAGCAGGTGATGTGCGGGTTGAAATCTTTCACCAAGTGCTTCCTCTGAGTAGCCATTCGTGGGGTAGGAAATGCTGGCAGAGCGCTTGGGGCCAGAGGAGCAAGTCGGAGAGGCGTCGACGCCCGCGGTTCACGAGAGCTGCGGCGCTGCTCCGTGCGGCTGGACTTCGCCGGGCATTTGCTCCTACTGCCGGCGGCCTCAC